AAAAAAAAAAAAAAAAAAAAAAAAGAAATAAAAAGTAACATCGCGTTCAAGTCGATGAAACATATAATATTCACCTATAATAATCCGCGTACGAGAGGGTCGGATATAATTCAACGTGGACGTGGGTACGTGCTGTGCTACGTGTCGTACCGCAATGTGCCGTAAACGTAATGCGAAGCGACAGTACCAGAAACATGCGGCCGTTCTCTTACAAATTTTCCTGCACCGCGGCAATTGATCCCACCGTCGGTCTCGGTCTCGAGAGACTTTAAAACACTTGCTACAACGCATTCCGACGTCGCGTGAACCTTCTTCGGAGCGAGGTCACTTATATACGCTTACTGTGCAAAATACTCTCACTCTTTTCGTGGTTCGTTAAATAATTATTAATAATAATAAAGGATAAAATTCTACAAAGAGTCCCCGGGACAATCAGCAGGGTCTGTGTGCGTTGGCATTCGATCGGTCTCGGCGGTTAAAAAATCTACGAGTCAAGGACGACTCTAGCGGTTTTCTCGTTTATCTTTCTGTGCCTCCCTCTTCATTCTTTACTTCCTTCCCTCCTTCCTTCCTTTCTTTCTTACTTACTTTCTTTCTTTCTCTCTCGTTTACGCACTCGCAACCTCGCACACTCGTTTGCTCTCTCTCTTCTCCCTTTCATTCTAATCTCTCTCGCATTCTAGTCACTATCACACCGCGCATTCTGTCTAACTTGCACACTGACGTTTGCACAAATACATACTTATGATTACCTCTTACAATATTTTTTTTTCTTATATTCATTTACTCTATTAATTATACGAATACTGTTTACGGACAGAGATTCATTCACAACTCGCGCCAGAGCGGGATAATCGTCTCTGCCGCGTGTTGCGTAACGTTTCTTTTTTTTTTTATTCTTTTTTTTCCTGTCAGTTTCCCGTCCGAAGCGATCTTTCACCACCAGTCTCACTCTTTGCTCACACCTCTCACATATTTAACATAATTTCTGACATAAAGTTTTTATCACACGCTAAAACGCTCGACCCCACTAATTTCTGGAGGTCACCGTTCGCACACGGTGTCCCGAAACGATACGTAGCGATCCACGAGTAACGGGCACACTTTGCACAACCTCTGTCGTCTCATTCCTCATCCTCCGCCGCATCTTCATCCGGACTTCACAATTCCTCCCGTACTATCGTGGTAGGGACTCGGAGACACCACACCATCTCCCCTCCGTCCAAAAGTAGAAAGATCTTCCCGAAGAGTCTCACCACGTGGATTAGTAGGTTCGTTCTCTCAGCCGCAACGACGGCGGGTGCGGGTCACTCTCGCCTGGGAGCAGAGTTCGTCTATCGACATAGAAACAGCACTTTCGCAGCGGCGCGAACACGCGAACACCTCTTTCCCGCTCCTCCTTTTCATTTCTACTTCTCTCCACTCGAGTATCGAGTCCTGTACACGTCATACGCTTCTCTCATTCCTCCGGTTCACTACCGCGTGGAAACTGTCTTCTATCTATCTTGCTGTCTGTCTGTTTGTACCTCTTTCTCTTGTTCTCATTTTCTCCGTTCTTCGCGTTATCACTTGGGACCGCGCTGCGCGAGGAAGTACTCGATCTGCTGTAGACAGAGCAGTTGCTGCACCAGGCTCTGCAATGGGTCTTGACCCGGTTGCAGTTGACCTTGCTGTCCTTGCTGCTGGAGCGGCTGCGTCAAGCCTCCACCAGTAGGCTGAGCAGACGGCGGTAACATTGCGCCCGTGGCCGATTGCTCGGCCAGCAATTGTCGCTGCAGCTGTTGCGCCTGATAATGAGCTACTGCCATCAGCTCCGAGGATTCCATCCCCATCGCGGCGGCTGCGGCGGCTGCGGCGGTCACGTGACCTAACTGCGGATGCTGCTCCGGATGATGATGGTGAGCGGCTGGCAGACCGGGTTGGCAAGCAAGCGGTGGTAGTACGCCGACGTGCGACATTCTGCCAGCCGTGGAGCCGGGAGGGCCCAGATAGGCGGCGGTGGGGAGGCTAGGATTCTCGCCCCGCTAGGGAGCCACGTTCTTGGGCCTGCGCCCCCGTCGCCCCCTGGTGGGGGGGCGCGGGGACTCCTGGCCTCACTGGCTCACCGCGGGGCTCTTTTTGTCTTGCTGCTGTTGACTGGCGTCCTGCGATCCCTGTACTCCCGCAGCCGCGCCACCTTGGCCACCCTGGACACCCTGGAAATAATAACCGTGCTCGTATATCATGCCTAGATTAGAAAACTTATTCTATAAAGTGTCTCTCGTCAATCCTAGCTTTAATCTTTGGTGTGGGGTCGCGATATGATCCCATCCGGGTGCGACAGGTTTATTCGAGCTTGTGATAGAGTTTGGACTTTGACCTTGTTATACTTGCAAATTTTTTCTTTCCTAAAAGAATTATTAATACAATATTTATTATTTACATTATTAATACAAGAGTAATGTTTGTTTCATTTTTCAACAATATACACATACAATATTTCCAATTTATTATATTACCTGTTTAATCTAAGTTTATATTAACATGTATCATATATAAAATAAACAACGATTAAACTCCTGGATAATTGCATTTAGCAAAGATGAGCCCGGCGAGATTACAACGAGCGCGCTTTCCAATGCTTTGTAACGTCTAATCTTCTCTTCTTGAAGAAAAATATTAAAAACCAAACGTAGGTCGGTAGGTTCTTTAAACGTTATCATTTTTTACGTATAGGGCTAAAAATTCCATGGTCAAAGCTTGTTACCTGACTGCCAGGTCCACCTTGTGGCGGGCCGGGACCACGATCTGGCGGCCAGGAATTGCCCGGGGTCGGTTCCGAATGGAACTGATGGGGATGCGGGGGTGGGCCGCCTGACGCGTCATGACTATGAGGATCCAGGCTGTTCGCAGCGTCGTACTGCGTGTTCTCCAGCCTCGTGATCAGTCGCTCGTCCTCGTCGCCGAACTCGCCACCCATCAAGGAGGGTTCACCCACAACCATTACGTCCTGATATCGTTGCATTGTAACAAAGGAAATATAATTAGCGTTTCGCTTCGCAGTCGAAAATTATCGGCGATCAATGAATGTACACAAAGAAAATTACTATGATTGCTATACCAACATTTCTACGTTACAAAGAGAAAATTTATGTGATTTCAAGTAAAATAGATATAACATTGAAAGTTACTGTTATTACATGCCCATCTATACAATTCTCACAACTATAATTCTTATGATATACAATGTTCAATTAATACATTCTCGTATACACAATTGCCTCAATCAAAGAAATATTGCTGCCTCTCTGTTGTGGCTTGTAGAGTAAATACTATGGTTGAAATCTGTAGAGTACGGTTGCAGCATACAACACTGAGAGTATTGCTCAGAAGAATATGAATAGGTAGTAAAGAAAATTAGGGTGTCACTTCCAGAGTACTACAACTATCTTGTATGTATGGGCGAAAAATGACATTAATATTTTACATTTGTGGCAACTATACTTGAACAACTGATATTCTTAATGTTTTCTCCGTGTAGCGATTAGGGGTTACATTTGGGGAACTCACCTGCGACGCGAGGGAAAAATTTGGCCCTGGCGATCTCTTCTTGCTCGGCGCAGGAGGCGCGTTGTTGCCCGGCCCCGAGGTACTGCCCTTTCGCTTTCTTCTTTTGCTTGCGGGCCGCTGCGATTCTGCAAGAAGAGGCTCCTCGTCAACACGATGACGCCCGCGCGCGCACTCGATGGCGTTTAGCCACGCGTGGCGGACTAACAGTCCTCTTCACACTTGTCCGTCCCCGTATCCGCACCATACATTTTCGGCACGGCGCGGACACGGAACGGGAAAGTATAAAAGGACCTCGATAAATCGAAGAGCACTATCCAGCTGTGGACCTTTCTCATCAGCAAAGGTCTCTGACACGGCGCAAACTCGCATGCATCTGATAGGCAGGCAAATACGCACACAAAATTGCTGAGAGATACGTGTTTCTATCTCGCTCTCTCTCTTTCTCTCTCTCTCTCTCTCTCTCTCTCTCTCTCTCTCTCTCTCTCTCTCTCTCTCTCTCTCTCGCTCTCTCGCTCTCACTCTCTCACTCTCTCTCTCTTTCGCGCTTGCTCTCTCTCTTCCTCTCCCTCCCGCACATGCTAGTTAATACTTTGCGCTCTCAAGCGATCTTTACAGCAAAACATGCTCGATATCGCGATATTTGGTGTAATACGCGCTTGGTTCCACGGTTTCGATCCTCAGAGGGATATGAGATGGAGGAGGTGTATGCACGACCTACAAAGTCGCGAGTGGTCGCAGAAACAGGAAACATGGAGTACGCGTAAATACGATAAAGACGATAAGAGCGATGAGCGAACATGACACGAAACGCTAAACGCGGTCAGGAAGAAACCGAGTCATTGATATCTCTACCGACATACATTATTATTTCTTGAATTGTTGAGTACTTAGCCTTCAGTCGTTTCTGTGACATACATTTTGATCTGCATTTATTTGGATATTTCGTATGATAGTATCCAAAGGATGAGGCGACAACTGTACAGCTGTTATTATGCCTAACCCAAAAATGTCTGAATAATATCTTAGTCCTAAATTGATAATACAAGGACACATAGAAGAAGGTGTGATAATTCAGTGAAGTGACAAACGATGTAGAGACTGGCAATATTGCGAAAGGTAGGGAGAGATGAATCGTAACGGATGTATTTAGGTGTAGCGAGTTAAAAAATCACGCTGCATTGTAAAATGGAAAAGCACTTTCGTGTTTTACTGTGCGATGAGAGGGAAAAAGGAGGGCTGAGATTCAAAACGAATGAAGAGGACATAGTCGAATCCTGGAAATCTGCGTCGCAGTGTAACACAAAGATGATTATTTTCTTTAATATGAGGAAATAGTTACTATAATTAGGCGATACAGATGGAGAATAAAATATTGACGGATCGTCAGTTAACTTGAATGTTGGAAGAGTAAGATACGCTTATAATCCCTGACATTATATGTGAAACGGAGCAAGAATTTTGGATACACTGGATCCCCTCGCCTTCTACCGCGCCCAGTAAACAGACGTTGACCAATACAGAAAACATAAAATATATCGATACAGTCGAACAAAAATAGAACAAAGTACTGAGTGACGAATAGTCTTTGTGGAGAAAACAAAGTGTGCCAGCAATGGAGCACAACTTTCGAAGACAAGCAACCTTCATACTTAAAGGTCACACGTGTCTCAAACTCCGAAAGACTTCGAAAGAGACACATCATTAGCGTACATATACAAATACGCGAATTAGATAAGGGCATTAGATCAGCTGCGAAGAGGCTGAAAAACAACGGGCCAAGAAGTGAGCCCCAAGGTGCGCTCGAAGATACGATAGGATATTGGAGGAAGGAGATACCGAAATGACGGTAGAATAAGAAGAGAATTACACACAGAAGGATGTGCCAAGGAGCGGTTTGTAAGGAAAGATCGGAAGAAGACAAGCACGGAAGCGGACATATTACAATATTTCATTTTGGCAAGGAGCAGCCGATGGTTCACAATGTCGAAAGCTTTCGAGAAATCTAAGGTTACTAATGCCGTTAGCATACCTCTCTATCAAAGCTGTACAGTGCTGAGATGGGCACACGGAGGGGTGATGGGAGAATGCTGTAACCCTCACAAGCGCCTGATCTATCTATAAAACGGATAACAATTATCTATATTAGGGAACGTTGCTCGGTCTCAGTGCGCAAGAAGACGCGATTTGACCGTCGCGCTAAAGCCCGACCGTTGCGAAAAACGCGAGATCGTCAACAAGGAAGAGTGGATGCTGTCGCAGGAGGATCCTGGGGAAAATTGGGCGATTTCCGGCAGTCGAGGAAAAACCGGTGGAACCAAGAGTCGCGACGCGGCGAAGAAAAGCGACGACAACGGATGCGTCGTTCCGCGACGGCAAAAAGCGATTCCCGTTGTCGACACGATGGCCGTTGGATCTTACTGGCTGGTGCTTCTCATGTAAAGCAACTGTTTGTCTACCTCCTCTCTTACCCGGCGGTGCAATTATCCTCTGCCATTTCTGGAACAAGGTCGTCTTCAAACAGTCGCGCGGTGACAACGCGTACGCCTTGTGCCTCGACATCAGTTCCTGCATTGGCTCCAGGATCACGCATAACTGCAAAAGAATAATCCCCTGTTACGTCTCGGCCGTACGAAAAAGAGCCATCGCGCTTCTTCCCGCTTCGCGCAAGCTTTCTCTGAGAAGCTTTCAGTATCGTTCGCTGTAAACTCTTCCATATGATTTCCACGAACTTTTCATCCAGATCAAAATCAAGCGCCCTGCGCATCTCTCTCTGCCGCATCTTCCCGTACCTCGCACGCCCCCAAGTCACGCGGCCTCATTTGTCGCGCTATGCTGGGGAGTGTGCGAGCACGGGAACATAGTTGAAATTTCAAGGATGACTCGCGAGAGACGAAGCGACGTTCGTTCGCACGAATCAGCCACTCCCGTCGACGATTCCTCCTCGCTCGCGAGGAGAAATTATTCGAGCTGAGCGGCCGCTCTTAGCCGCTCGTACTTTCCGAACATCGTGTACCAGTTCAACAATGGGCGAGGACTTTCCCGCGACGTAACAATCGACGGCTTTTCAACCGGCTCTCCGGGACGATACACGGCGGAATGCGCGGGCGCTCGGTGAAAGCGCTTCCGAGCGCGGAAAGAAGGTGGATCGTAACCCGGATAGCCGGCGTACTTTCGAGAACGTTATTCCGAGACAGCTCTCGCGGCTTAACCCTGCACGCCGACAGACACACCTTCTCGCCGCGATCGTTTCCCCGCTATTATTGCGTCCGCGATTGTTTACTTCCGATGCGTGTCCGGCTCTCGAGCAGACGCGTGATTTTGTACGTGAGCTTTCGTCACTCGCAAACTGCGGATGTTCTGCAATTATTCTCTTCACAGATGAAGCGCATCGTGGTCTTTTATAATTGTGCATCGATAGTTGTCCCCGCGAGACGAATTGGACTGCGCATGATGTAAATTCGCGCGAGATTGCCCAAACTTGGGGAAGCGCGAGTGGATTAGGGGACACCAGGGCTATGTGGCCCCAGAGATATGTTGTTCATGTACTTTTCTTTATTATCTATCTTGAGAGGCATAGTGGATACACACAAAATCGCGAAATGAACACAATTTTAGAACACAAATACTTTTCCTTTTACGTTTTATTAAAATCGAAATAATATTACAGTTAAGAAATAGAAAAATCTGACTTGGTAATAACAAGTTTTCGAGCCTCTCAAGATTTTCTGGTAATATTTTCCATCGTGATTGAATAAAATTAAGTGACTAGGTTAGAATTAAATTTCTTGCAAGTGTATAACATGCTGTTTCTGATGCTAAATGCAATTTTTATTCATAAAATGATTGAAATAGAGTATATGTACAGAGAAAAAAATTTACTAAATTTAAAAAAACGTTTGTTTGGATAATACTGTGATATTTGTTTAAATTAAGTAATTATTTTCTAAAATTAAAGAAACAAATTTATATTTAAAACTTCTTTATTTAATTTTAGAAAGTAATTAATTTAAACAAAGATCTTTACAGTACTATCCAAACAAACGTTTTTTTAAATTTAGTAAATTTTTTTCTCAGTGTGGGCGGGCGAGGTTAAGTTGACCCATAATTAAGAGCCGGCAGGAGAGCTGTGAAGATCTCGCGGAGATTCCGGGACTACTAATCAAAATACATATTTTGTATATGGTCTTCTTTCCCTGCGCTAATAAGCAACTGAATTCGATACCAGGGCAAAATGGCCACGTTGCTGTATATTGTATTTTGGTTATTGCAAAACACAAAATATACCATTAACAGGATCGTGACGGGCATTAATATGTAGAAAAAGATCGTCTCTATCATGTTTAATAATCAGTCACAAAAATTAGTTGCCTGAGAAGTTGTAACTTCGAAATTCTAAAATATAGGACATCTAGCCCCGGTATTCTCTATATTATCGATTTTCCACTGCTCTACGTTGAGTCTCTCTCGGAAACGAAATTTCGCGCGAGTGGGAAACAAAATTTATTCCACCGTTTTCGATTTGTTTTCGAGGTATCGTGGGATTTAATTGGGAAAAATATTATTGCCGAAAAACATGTGCAATATTTCGCTTCATTGTGGACGCTCCCTCCATTAACTCGGAAAAAATCGTGACGTGAGAAGAAGGATCCCAAGAGATTTCATAGTCGCGGGAACGCGGACGCAGTCAATCCGGTGCCGGAGTTACGACGACGGAGTTACGACACTCCCGCGTTGCGGATACGCACCCTAAGGTAGTTGAGGGTGGAATTGGTGATGCCCTGCCTGGTGATGTTCTTGCTGAGCTGCTCCAACAAAGTCGGGTCCTGCTGCATGCAAGCCGACCTCGGCACTAGCTCTCGATGACCTCTCACCGACATATGCCACGACTTTATCCTCATGAGGTCGTCGAAGGTGAACTCCAATATTAACCTACCCTCCGTGCACACCTAAAATGAGTTTCAGATAACAATACCTGTCTCGTCTGTTTCGAGGGTGCTTGATTTCGGCGCGTCGCCGAAGCCAAAGTTCGCGGAATTCGCGTTAGAAAACGATCTCGCCGACACCAGACGAGAGATCCGAGGTGAAACTTCAATTTAATTCACGACTCTCTATACTTTGCAAGATCTATTCCGTATCAGATCGATCGATCCTGTCATTAATTACGCACAAACGGCGATCACATGCACAATGATCTTGAGCGATTGCTAACAGTCGCGTACGAATCTTTGCAACTCTACGTCCCCGCTCGAAATTCCAGAAAGGAAAGTAGCAAGTTTACATTTACTTCTCCTAGGTATTGCAGTCATATCGATTGTTATCGGCACGGTTTGGCTCGGCAGTCGAGCGCGCGGCGAAAGTGCCACGGCAATCGGAAAGCCTAATAAATTCTAACGTAAGCGCGCGAGTTCCAGCGCGAGTTCCAGCGCGGAATCGTCCATACCTTCGTGTAGACCGGCTTTCCATGATGCGTGACCATGACGCAGTGATCACAGTCCAGGGTTATGCTGGTGTTATGAAACGACTCCTTCGAGTGCTTCATAGTGTAGTAAAGTTCCGTCACTCCGCCCTCGAATATCGAGCGGAAGTACCTAGGTATTAACGTCCTTCCTATCGCTGAAAAGGATCAAGGTTGAAAACGATTAGAAATTAAATACAATGAACGTGCCGCGGGGAAGACGCACCGGCGATTAAAATCGACAGCGAGCTTATCGAGCTTATCGAGCGATCGATCGACACATCCCCTCTTCTACAGATCGGATAAAATCCCTCCGTCTGATGCGCGTAATACTGAAATTGAGCACAGGGGAAACCGGGGCTATTTGGTCACCGGGATAAATTGACAAAGTCGATTATTTCTACTGTTTTTTAACGGATTTTAGAATCAAGCAAGCAGGGATTTCAAAGTCATCTTTGATTAGAGATCTTGCCTATTTAATTTTGTAACTTGTTAGAAAACATTAAAAATAACCGATTTGGCCAACTGACTCCGCTAGTCAACTAGCCCCGGATTCTCCTATTTCGTGAGCATTCGCAGTCGCAGAACTCGACGAATCACGTGACTTGGTCGCGATCAGTTTAATAGCGTGCATCACGAAGGTCGTTGAGGATCATTCAAGCGGAAAGAAGAGGCGGAGAGATAACGTTAATTTTTCACCTGCTCCTCGCCCGGCAGACACATCTCCGGATTTCGGACGCGCGAAAAGAAAAAGAATTAACTGGACCCACCAAGTGTCTGCTGAAGTATGAACGAGCCAGAAATTCCGCCTGAAGTCACTAGAATTCTATTCGAGTCAACAACACGCCTAGTTAAGCAGAGCCTAACTACTATTTTGTTACAATTACTCAACTTGAAACAGTCGCGAGTTCTGGTTGGGCAGAGATCTTGTTCGGTTAACCGAACCACAATCCTGTTGACTTGAACGGAATTCGGGTAACTTCAACCGCGGATTTTCCGGCTCGCTCATATTTCACCAGACATCTGGTTAATCCAAGCTCGAATTTCTTTTTTCGCGAAGTGATATGCGCCGCCACGTTGACGACGATGGAGAGTCATGTCGGATGGGAAACCCCTTTTTTCCGCGCTTAATTACAAAATGCTTTTCGCATTACTGCGCTCGTTCGGCCGCGTCTTATGCCGCATACGAACCTACCTGTCATTTGTACGTACTCGGGTGACGACGACGACGACGACGACGACAACGACATGCATCCGCGCGCGACATGTAATCACGTTGTCGTCGTATATTCTCCGCGACGATGGGAACGGACATTAAAATCCACCGACTGCAAAATTGCCGTGCGGTGGCACGTCATTATTTAGAACGGAGGCGGTGCGTACGCGTACACGAGTACAGAGAGGCAAGAGGAGGGAGGAAGAGGCTCATGCTGTGGCGATTAAGTGTCGGTGACAATGGATCGCCAGGGAGGTATCGTCGAGGTGTAAGAAATTATCGCGCTCGCCGGCGGAATCGATCGCATTAAACGGAGATAACGGACGTAGATATCGCGGATGCCCACTCGAGAACGTTATCCACCTCCTCCTTCTCTCTCGTTTCCTCCTCTCTCCTAAAAGCGAAAAGATACGCTCTCTTCACAAGATTTAACACGTGACGCTACATTTCTTTCGTGAATCGATTATCTCGGTTTAATTTAATCATTAAATTGATTTCACAAATTATTTTCCTCAAGGAATTTCTCATTCAATCATTTTCCTTACTTCTTAAGTACAATATTTAAATCGGCCTTGGCGTTATTTCAATTTATTAGTTGCGTCATGTATCGTTAATATCTACAATGCGGCTCTTTTTATTCCTCCCCAAGGCGGAAGGTCACTTTCAATATCTGTGCGTTAAAAGCGCGGCTCGCAAAAGCGTATTTCGCATGCAATATCCAGCAGCTTTCTCGACACAGGAAGGTTCTGGGCGTGCAGCTGGGAGGAACTTCGTGATCTCGCGCGCTGAACGTTACTCGCTATTTGGCAACTTGTCCTGGCTCAAAATCGAAATAACCGGACACCCCCGGCACGCGAAGCCAATAAGAAAATCGATGTTTTGCAACAAAGCTAACCTGCGACTACCTCGCGCAAACTCTCGATTCAGAGATATCACGCTTTTGGTCGCATCCAAGTCACAGCGCGAGTTAGCTAATATAGTTCAGCCTCGACCGAGTCAGTCGGCATCCAACTCGATGTCCCTTTTAAATTGTCGAAACAAAAGTCCTGTTTCGACTCATAAGACAAAAAAGAGGTCCAAAGTTGTTCTATTACTCACATGGAGAACCTAATCCGACGAGAACGAGGCGTATGCTTATCAGACGCGTTACTTTGCTCGCGGCGTTCATGAATAAAACAGGAGCCCATGTAAATCGATAGTTTTAAAGTTAAATGTAAACGCAAATAATACACTCGCGTGTACTCACTGTATCTCTTCGGTCCGTCCTCCAAGCAAAAGGTGAGCGTGAGGGTGGCGTCGTCTTCGAAGAACTCGGTCGCGAAGGCGTCCCACCAAAGATTGTCGCTTTCCTGAAACACAGAGGGACACGGGAACGATTAGCTCTTCTATGTGGCACCCCGCGCGTTTCGTGTTAGACGCGTGTGTCGTGTCGCCCACTTGTCATGTCCTGGTGCCTATTTATTATCGCGCTTACTTATCCTCGCGAGTGACGAACGGGAAACGATCAGGACGGCGGACGAAGAAGGGTTAAGGGGGTGTTAGACGGCGGACAGAGAAGTGCCGAGGCTCAGCGGGGTCAGGATGAAAAGGAGAGGAGAAAATGAAGAGGTGGGACTCCGAAGGGTCGCACGGAGGCGCGGAAAAGGCAGAGGAGAAGAGAGGAGAAGAGAAAGGGAGAAAGAGAGAGAGAAAGAGAACTAGAAAGAGAAAGAGAGAGAGAGAGAACCTCGGCGCTGAATAACGCATGACTGTCTGGCTTGAAATTATAGCATTCCGCCCCCTCCCAGTCGTAGGAACTACCCCTTGGCTCTGTTCGCCACGCTTTCATTCAATTATGCATCCACCACCGTCCCCCTCGCGCCTCTCTGCCAGTACACCTACCCCCAAACCCCGCGGGCGCTCCTCTTATTATTATTTTCCCGCGTGTGGGCCCCGTCTCTCTCTCTCTCTCTCTCTCCCTCTCTCTCTCTTTCTCGTCGGCTTTTCCAGCGCGCGAAAAGCCGCCGCCACTGCCGCCGCCGTCGTCGTCGGTGGGATTTAGCAGCGATCACGATTTCGAGGATTGTGGTCGCTCGGAGGGGTCGCGAATCCGCGCTACGATCGGCCGCAGGTTGCTCGGCTGCCAATTTCACGACTGACGCGTCATTCTGCCGACGCGTTGTTGACTTCATTTTTATCTAATCTAAGCTGTTGTAAGGTGTAGGCTTACACCAGTGGCGAGCAAATTTCGCACGAAGGAACGGGGAGTGAATTGTTTTCTTATTGTATATATCTATTATATGAGTTATTGGAAAAGTTTCTTAACGAATAACACAAGATGCGCTAATGATCTGTGTGAAATGGATAACATAAAAAAAAGCACTCGGGAGCATAGAATATCACAAGAGTGAATAAAAGGGAACTGAAAGAGCGGCGTACACACTGAGAACAAAATGTTTGCTACTTGTAACTCTAATCGCACAGAGAAGTAATTACTACAAATTATGACCAAGAGGACTATTTTGTGTGTTACTAAATTCTACTGTGACGTTAGTGATGATGATAGCCTTGTATGCGTGCTACTACTACCATTTCCTGTTGGAACCACCAAAAAATACGACTGGGACTAAAAGTAATTTTAGTTAGATGAACCATTTTCTTTTCTCTCAGTGCGCTATTGCGAACGAAAAACCATACGTGAGAAACTAGTAGCATCTGACGGATACACGCGCAACTTGCCCCCGGAATGCCAACGCTCGAACGACGGATTGCTTTCCGAACACATTTACTTCCACGACAAAACGCATATTGTGCGTCGCGGCCGAACAATTACGCGTTTGCCGTCGTCATTTATTATGCGCTTCCGCCAGGCATCCGCCTGTCAATGGGCGCCTTTTAATTTTGCATCCGCGAGATGCGAAACTTCGGCATAGACGTAACGACGCGAGGTCGGCGCGCGTGCCGCGACATCGGCGAGCTTGAGGCGGAGGAGACGTTTATAAAGCGCGCAAATAGTTCATCCGCGCGCGCGACAGCGCGCGTTTCCCGACGAGCTATCGATCGAATCGGCCGGGAGAATAAATAAGACGCGAGTTGAGTGGCGCGAAAATGAGATATCGCCCGCGAGAAGTCGGGCCGTTCGCGTCAAATCCGAATAGACAATCGGTTTCCGGGGCCGGGCCGCCGACACTGCACTCGTGAAGATTTATTTCGGACGTAAGCCGCGCCGCCGTGCCAAATCAAGCAAACTGTTACCACTCCCGCGCAAATTGATATTTCTGGCAAGCGCGCCGGCCCCCGCCTCGGCGAACGGGAGGGAAGCCGAGATCGAGAGGAGGAGGGCGAAAGTCGTCGAAACAGCGATGAGATAAGTGTAACCGAACGAGCGAGAAGACGTTACCCGACAAATAGGCGATATTCAATAATGCGAAGAGCGGAGCGCGGGGGTGAAAAATGCCCCGGGAGAGGAAAAAGCCGTCGTTGAATCGCGCGTGTTTCGGGAAATTATTCTCGCAATGGCCTCTCTCCCTCTCTCTCTCTCTCCCTTCCTCCCTCCCTCTTTCTGTTTCTCTCTCTTTCTCTCTCTCTCTCTCCCTCCCTCTCTCTCTCCCTCCCTCCCTCTCTCTCTCTCATTCTTCCGCGTCGATTCCGTACACGGCGATTAACGCTACGCGTCATATTTTTGCGACATGCAATACATCTGGTTCTGACAGATCTGAGCGACTTTGAAAAGCACCAAACCGGACACGTAGCTAATCCTGGACATTAGTATTGGACATTAGTATTTTAGCCTTTAAATATGAATATTTAAGCATTCAAAACACACACATAGAATCACTTAAAAAAAGAAAAAATTGTAGTTGTGAAAAACTGTTTTCCGTAAACCCACATTCTAAGGGAAAACTCTTACTGAAAAAATATTCTTCTAATAAAGACTATATAAATCAGAGACCTACTAGATATTTTTCTAATCTTTTTTTGCTTTTGAATCCAGAGGAATATGTTTTATTTGAAGCAAAATGCTCTTTTATCAAAAGAAACTGTTATTAAGAGCAAAACTTTCCGTATAGAAATTTTGTATTTTATTAAATACAAGTTAGATTTCAATCAGAATGTCCAACTTTGTCCCAAAATAGATTATTCCATTACAATATCAATTAAGAATTATATTCTTAAATGTTTACTACATCATTTCCATTAATGCAATAAAGACAATAAATGTTTCCTTTGGTTTACACTATTCCATATTAAAACATAAAATAATGCATTTTCATTTTATATCTAATATAGAATACATTTGTACATCTGAGGATAACTTGACGATTTCATATATTTGTAAGTCAGGAAAATTTTCCGGGTATTTATATATATTTTTTACCTTTTTAGTTCAGTCTTCTATTACAATTTCTTCATAATGATTTTTTTCGCAAACATTTTAAGTATTTACTCTTTACAAATATATGTGTATATATACTTGTAAAGAGTAAATATTCAAAGTGTTTCATATATTTTACTCAATTTCAATTTAAAATAGAAATCGGGAACACGTTGAAGATGACCAACTAATATCTATCTAAGTTTCTTATTTAGAGAGATTCGCGTATTTTAAACATAAAGCTCTTAACCAGAACCTATATAAATTTCCCACCTAGAACTTATAATTATTGTGGGAAATCGAGCTGGATCCCAATTAAATCCCAAAACATTTTCTATGCGAGTTATACCGTAAACAAGAGACGAGATTCCTTTAACTTTAAGAATACTTACTTGGAAAATTTTCTTTTTGGTTTTAGGAGAGTCCTCTTGAGACCATATATAAGAATAAAATCCTCTAAGACTCAAAGTAGAGTTCCTCAAGTTAGAGTTAAGACATAATCCGCTATTTTCAGGGAGAAAGCGAATGAACGAGTGAATGAGAGAAAAACTGCAACATGTTCCGTTATTTCAGTCTTGAAGCTTCTCTCTTACTCCCACTCCTTAAAAATAGCGAAAAGAATACAGACTAATCAGAAATCATCATGCTTCATCCTAACTCTGACTAGAGAAACTCTAATTCAAAGGATTCTGTTAAGGATTGATCATATTTTTTTTGTGATACATGTTTATATATTTCATGTTAAACATTTAAATAATCGTACTTAAAGATCGAAAGAATAAAAATAGTCAGGATTAAATACGTGTTTGGACATCGGTATTTTTACCTAATTGTGTAATTTTGTTCAAAATTAATATTTTTCGACACATTTGTCTTGCAGAGATATAGAAAAGTGTCAGCTATGAGATAAATAGCGTGATAAAATAAAAATTTACAAATTTGCGCTGTCTGGAAATTTTCTCGAATACAAAAGTTGATAAGCGATCGAATATTCGTCTCACAAACCTAACATTGTACATAGAGGGTTAAAGAATCAAATTTATCTGGAATTAACCGAGAGAATCTCGGAATCGCAAGTCGTAGAAATTACGCAGGTTAAATTACGGTCTCTCACTCCCTCTCTCTCCCTCCTTCCACCCTCTCTCTCTCTTTCGCTGTTAATTTCACTATTCTCAAAAACTGTCGAGTATCGCGAAAGTTCGACCGCCTGTCTTGGCCGCTTCAATAGGCTAATTAACGGCTCGTTAGTCTCACTCGGTCCCTCGGCCAACGTAACACGTAAAATCCGTCGGATTCCCTCATTTTTCGTGGCGTGCTTTTCCGTTATTCCGCCAGAAATGGCGTCAGGCTGGAAATCGATCTAACCCATCGAGTATTCGCGAATCGATGTTCAAAACTTCAGTAATGTAATAAAATATGCAACATGTAGTAGCTCGCATTCCCGATTTGGCGAAATTAATTATCGGCCATTCGGGAGCGACAATGCGAGAAAAATTCGCCGCTATTGTATATTCGGACGCTGGAAAAATCCGTTCGGGAAATGCAATGAGATTCGCGCGCGATAATCATGGCGAGATTGCAATCACGATTTTTCCCCGCGGCGTGTTAAGATCATCATCGCTGATTAGTAAAGCGTGTTTTCCGCGAATACGCAAAGAACATCGTGCTGGTTCGTCGTCTTTGCGTCGTCGTGACAGAATAATTAAACTTGTTAACACAACGACTGCACTAACAGAGAAAAATGGTTGATCCAACTAGAATTAGAGTTATAGTTACTTTTAGCCTCAATCTCGTATTTTCTGGTTGTTCTAATAATAGCAGCAACATGCATATAAGGTTACGGTTAAGGTTATTACTAACGCTATAGTGAAATTTAATTAAAGAAAATGTTCTCTTGATCATAATTTATAATAATTATTTTTCAAAATGATTATAGTTACAAATATCACTCTTCTCGAATGACGAGTAAAACTCCAATCTCGTATTTTCTAGTTG